CGCACAGCAGCGTGAGCACAGGGACGGCGACTTCTGCATAAATAAGTTGAGACTGATCATACACTTGCACTTGCGCTCACTTCTCTTCGACCAGGGCCCGAGGTCAAGGTATAGATAAAAAAATGGTGAAGGCGAGATCGAGCACAAGTGGGTGACGCGGTTTACACCTACAACTAGGCAGGGGCCTGCAGCGCTTATTCGACTGCGTAAAGCCGGCCTGGGAGGCGGCATGGACGCAGCGCATAAGGCCAACGAACGTTCCAAAGCAAGCTCAAACAGTAAATAGACAGGCGGTAGGCCCGCATCACGATAGTCCTCGTACTACCATCTAAAATTACTCACCCTCCAAAACAGCAGAATTCAGTTTGGGGCTGAGGCTGATGAGCATTCGAGACATACTTATCGGGATCGATTTAGACACCAAAATGTACAGCTAAAAGAAATTGTGACTGAAGCTGCCAAAATGGCCCAGCACGATGTTTGAAAAGATAAAAAATGGGAGAGAGGTGATAAGGTAGCCACAAAGAGATTTATTGATGAGGTAGTAGTTGTTTAGGATTCTTGATGTCAGAGGTAGGAAGGAGTGTTGAGAGAACCTAGATTAGCAGATGCACAGCACACACATCACAGAGCCAACAATTCCAGGAAGAAAAATCAAAGAACAAGGAAATCTTGGCATTCTCGACCCCATGATCCAAAGATGAAAACCTAGAGATGAGGTACCGAGAGGATGTAGAGAATGACAACAATTAATGGGATTACGGATGCAAAATGTAATGAGAGCGTGCAGACAGGGACTTACTAATAGGGTCTGCACTAGAAAAGACCTCCGGAGTTCGAATGGAGGCGTAACGGAAGTGTTCCGTCACATCGATGGGCCCATAAAGATCAATGGGTACGCCAAGGAAGGTGGGTAGGAGACTGAGGCTGGGAGAGATGCCCAGAAAGAGATCGACGACCATAGCGAGAGAGCGAATTGCCTGATGGAAGATAGTTGGCAAGAAGGCAGCTGTGATGCGACACCTTGAGGCACCCTGCGAGTGGCTGTAGGATGTGTGACAGAGAAAACACGCCAGCATTAGAGTTCATGCAGGTGATTTAATGAAACAGCTGTTCACCGCGAAGTGGTTGACAAAACCAAACAGCCTGTTTACTCGAGCCGCACACAGGACATGAATCACGGTGGCTCGGATCTCAGCTAAGTAAGATTGCCGTAAAGATCACAGGAAGAAGTAGCCACTGCAGTTTTCCTCCCAGTTCTGAGAAGGAGCAAACTATCACATCAGTTAGCAACGAAAGACCTACGACGGGTAACTCTTTGTGATGAAATGTGCTGATTTGCCATAAAGATGAAATTCTCGGTGTTGGCTTTATTCAACCTTCCCTCCCCCATGAAGCAATTAACTGTCCAAGCCTATCAAACGACCAGTCATGAGATTGGACACAGGGGTAGAGAGAGAGCTTGTGGCGGAGTGCCATAACTCTCCCCCCCCCTTCGTTCTCCAAGGCTCACTGCCCCATAGTCGTGTCGTCACAAACAACTGTTCTAATGCTTTCCTTCACTGGCGCCCCCGGCACCCGAGGCTTGACCTCGCAGCTGCTTCTGGCTAACCGATAACAGCTGCGTCAGCCTCCCCCGTCCTTCGGCGTTCCTGCAGTCCGGACAGTTGACTTCAGCTTAATAAGCACACCTTCTTAAAAGCCACTTAACGCGACCTTCTGGCCACACAGCAGGGGGCCGTTGCAA